TTCTTCCGTGACATCTGTACGTAAGGACAGAATAAAAGACTCTTTTCCTCAAAAACATTATAAAACTGCTTCAAAATGAATTCTGAAGAGAAATTTTCGTCGCGTCTGTACGAACGTATGTACGTACGTACTTACGTATCTCGCACAACTCAAAAACGAGTAGCCTCAGAACGTTGAAATTTTGTATATAGGACTGCTATAACATGTAGATGTGCACCGATATTTTGGTTCCAATGGGCCTCACCAAACGTATACAAATATATTTATATATATATATATCCACTCTGTTACCCGGCTCAGTGATCTCAGTTTCTTTACTCTTATATGTTTGTAAATTGTACATTTTTTGCTTTAAAAAATGATTGAATTATGTTGTTTTTATGCCTTTAGTAAATCTGTATGCAATATTTTTAGAATTATCAAAAATTTTAAAGTTGTTTAAGTGCCGCTAAGCCTAGAATAGTGGATTTGTTGCCAATCTAGAGAAACTTAGCTTTGCAAAAACAAAGATAACGCCATCATTTATTATTGCGAATTAAATCATGCTGAATCCTTTCCGGAATTTTTGGAGGAAATAAGTGTTTAAAATTTACTTCGTAATTTTTAATACAGATTTTTTGAGTTTTTATCTATTCTTGCCTTGTCGCGAAGTGAGAACTGAATTCATTGAATGAGGAATACTCAATCGTCTGTGAAAAACTGGTTCTTTTTTTTTTTTTTTTGTTTTTGTTTTTTGTTTGCTTGATTTCTTTTATACATCGTTCTGGCTTTATTATAGTATTTGAATAGAACATGTGGCAACGATTCTATAATTCTTTAAATGATATAAATTTTGTGCATTCTGAGTTATAATATGAACGAAATATAATACTGTTAAGTGAAACTAGCGCCAGAGATACGCTATGGTAAACAAATAATAAATTTTAATGAGTGCATTTATTCTATTGTGGTTTATGCGCTATCGACGAAGTAGATTTAATTCAATTCAATAAGTTTAAATGAAATGCAAGAAAAAGTGTGTATAATTTAATATTCCGTACAAGGAAGTCATGTGGTGTACACATCAGATTTTTTTCTCTTTATAATCCGCAGACAAACACTGGAGCAAATACGTATTGGGAAATGTAAATAGATAGATAAGAGTAGATATATATATAGATATGATGTACGTTTAGGTATACACAGAACTTGGTAGTATTTAGTTGTTTAATATTATTGGAGTTATATTAAGAATGCTGTCATTAGATTGTTTTTAAGCAGGGGATATGAAAAGTGAGCAAAACCCTTGCTGGGACTCGAACCTGGATCTCTCGAATACTAAGTGTGCTAATCGTTACATTACGAAGACGTGCAGAAAAAAGGTAGAAAATGTACTTTGTTTATTAATTCTTTCACCAAAAGTGCATGCGGAAGAGAGGGGGAAGTAATAGCAGTTTCGAATTCAAGGGAAACTCATAGTTCTAGGAAATAAAACTTAAATTCTGATTCGAAGGAAGAAAGATCTAACGTTTCACTGACCAGCGTTATCTACTAATTCATTGTAGTATTCAAAAATACAGTAGTTGCTATATTTATTGAATGTGCTTACAGTTGTAATATACCTTATATTATTTATTTGAATGTACAGTGAAATGTCAGATGAAGTAATCGTGTTGAAATAATTTTTTTGTTATATGCTTCCTTTTTATATATTATTTTATTTACATAAAAGTAAAAATCTTATTACATTGAATTACGGTTTTTATAACTTTAATCTACTAATTTGGCATTTGAAATTTTTTTTAATTTAGTAATTAAATTTAATAAAATATAATTTAATTTCTGCTTCTTATATACATATCATTCAAAAGAAAATAAACCCGTAGTTTTCCTCTGAAAATTTGATATTTGGAATTTATATGCTACTTGTTGCAACGATTCAGAATAATGAAATCGATTTTATAAATTCATCTAAGAATATTACGGGAAAATGGCGCGTAAAATTTCGAAAAACTACAGTTAACAGGAAATAAATTTATTTTATTTATTTATTATAATTTAGTTTCTTCTCAATGAAGAATTTTATACAAACAAGCAGATAAATGAAATGCTAATTCCAGCTTTGAAAATACTATTTGAAATACAAAATTCCAAACAGAGTAGATTTGCAATATGCTCTGAAAATGCAATTCCATGTTAACAAACAACGTAAAATGCACTTGAAATCACGCGGATTTTGATTATATAAATTCGAAAGTGTTTGAGTTTATTTTGGAACTGAATAAAAATAAAATTGTTATACTTATTGACAGTATAACCCTTAAATACATGAATTTTTATTTTTACTTTTAAAATCAAAAATACATTAGAAGTAACATCAAATAAAACAGGAGAAATACTAAAAAAAAACTTAAATTGTTATTCCAATTTTTAAAAATGTTTTATTAACTTTTACAAAACATGCACGATAGATAATTATGTAATAGCAATTTTATGTAATAATATATACCTTATAAACTTGTTCAAACAATTTTAAAACTTTTAATACTTCAAAATAAAAACAAAATCAAAAATTCGTAAACACAAATGATGTCCACACCCTACACATCAACTAACGACTATGACCGTTACACCATTAAGAGGGCTCATACACCTTAAACCCCTTTTGATCTTGGAATATGTGACCATTGCAAGAATTAGGTTATTTTATTTATTTTAAAAGCAATTACTTGCAACGTTTTACAGCTGACTACATAATATAGCTGCTTTAGGAACTAGTAACCAGAAAGTTTGTGTTGCCACAAATATTTTTGTAATTTAATCCTCTTTGTGAACAAAATACTTTCGCCACGTTTTCCACCTTGCGCGCATGATATTTTAAAAATGGCTCGTGGTACATACTTGAAATTTAATGGAATTCTTTATATGGGCACTCTTTTCTAACTGAACCAAACATCTGATGAATATTTTAATATTAAAAAAATTTTATGCACGAAAACATTACAGATTTTTTTATGATAAAGTACATTTTATAAACTCAACTCCAAATAAAATAAAAATTTAACATGAAATTCTTAGAAGTTTTAGGTTCACAGTAGTTTCCAAATGTTTATAAAAGCTATATATTAAATATGGAATTAAATTATGCAACAGAATATTTTAAACTGTGCGCGCAAGGTGGAAACATGACGTAAACTTTTGTCACACTGCGGAATAAATTAAAAAAATATTTGTGGCAACACAATCTTTCTGATTATTGTTTCAGAAATTAGCTATATTATGTAGTCAGCTGTAAAAAGATGGAAGTAATTGCTTTTAAAATAAATAAGTTATCCTAATTCTTGCAATAGTCACATATTCGAATATCTTATGGGTTTTAAGGTGTATGAGACCCCTTAATGATGCCACCACACTGAAACATTCAAAACTATATACGTAAACAGTATTTATCCAATTAGTTACTCTGTGCAGCTAGCTAAAATTTGTGTTGTTATTTCATTTACATGACTAAATATGAATTACATGCATTTAAGGATTAAAACCATATTTGTATAATCCTAAAATGCTTTTGAGTTGTTTATGTTTTGAAAATTTAGTATTTTAACACTTCTTTTTGTATTACTGAGCAGGCTGTTTTGAATAACAACTGATTATTTTTAGTAATTTTTTCTGTTATTGTTTTGAAGTTTATTATAATTTTATTTTACTTTTATTAGATATTAAAGTAAGATCTTAAACTGTTACAGTTTCGGAACATAAAGAAAATGCATTTATTACAAATGGTTTTGATAAAATTTTAGTAGTGTTAATATGTACTTTGTATTTGCTGCATTTTCTGAAAATAATGTCAAGTATTAAGCAACTAACAAACATAGCCAAATGTTACTTCCGTAAAACTAACCATACAAACAGTAAGTAAATAAAAACATATTTCCAAAACTTTCCCTTTTATGTCAGGTAAATGCTTTTGAAATGTAATTTAAATGGAATTTAAGGCTCTACGTCTCAATTTAGTCTAAAACACAAGTAGCAAACATAAAGTATTTTTTTTCAGGATTATGAACTGGCAAATATCATTTCTTTAGCAGCAATTTGCGTTAGAACCTTACTTCCGTGTATGTATTTTTAACATTAAAACATTAATTGATAATTTATATTTTTAATTTCCTCTGCTTCTTTTTACAGAATAATTTTTAAAATCACGGAAAAAAGTTGTAAGACGATAACTTTTTTACACATTTCAAATTCAAGGAAACAAAATATATATAACAGTTTCTAAGATTTTTACAAGTTTTCTTCTTCAGAGTAGTTATTCAAATTTGACGCTGCTTAAATTTGCCAGAAATATAAATATAAGTTTATTTTTGTTTGTATATATGTTTAATAGTCGCACTAAAATAGTATGTGTTATTAAACTGTCTGACATTGCATACCAGGTGGAGCTGAGAAATACGCAGAATATTTTATTAACTGTATAATAATAGAGGAGAAAAAGCTTAATTTATCACGAAATTAAAATATATGTTTGGAAAAATATTTCCGATTTAAAGCTGATTCGAAATTACTGTTTTAAACACAACATATTCGTAACAATAAATAACGCAAAGATTCGTAATAATCTAAATATTAATAGAAAACAGTCCGAGAAGAGAAGAAGAACTAAATTAAAAATTCACTTGCTCCTACCACTCTCTCGCGTTTTTTCCCCTCATGAAGAGCCGTCCTCGAATTGAACGGTTGGCGAAATTCGGCCCAAATGACTTCGCCAATAGTTTTGGCAACCCTTAGCCGGGGGAAACATCCGACGGAGTCCTCATCAGTGCGTGCTGTGGATAGAGAGGAGTCGGGATGCGCCGCTGTAGGAGTCGGTGGAAAAGACCCCTGCGACGGTAGTAGGATGGGTCAAATACGTCCCGGATATCCGGCACCATCAAGGGGCCGGACCATTGTATCCGGGCGCTCAGGGATAGGATTCAATTAAAAAAGACCAAATCACGTTGAATCTTACTGATTTGACGGAGCTGTGTTGGCCATCCACCCGTCACCATTTCGAAGCTCCACCTGGTCGAGAAGTGGGGGGTCGGCCCCGTGCTTAGGCCCCGGCGACCCGCTCTACTCGCACCGCCGCCGCCACCAGCCGCCCTGCGAAGGGCAAGCAGTGGGGATGGCGGGAATAAAACCGAACTCGGTAGCCGTTGGTACGGCAGCCGTGATGATTTGGTGGTGAAGCATTCTTCATCTTCTCTTGCTCTTCCTTTGTCCAGGTCCCTGCCGAAGCTGCATGGCGAAGATGGAGGAGGTGGTGGAAACAGCGAAGGAGGAGGAGCACAGATGCTGTCCCTGCCGCCTCTGTGCAATTTCGAGCCCATACCGCATGATCATGATTACTGCGAGCGGGTCGTGATCAACGTGAGCGGGCTCCGGTTCGAGACGCAGCTCCGGACGCTGAACCAGTTCCCGGACACCCTGCTGGGGGACCCGGCTCGGCGTATCCGGTACTTCGACCCACTGCGCAACGAATATTTTTTCGACCGGAACCGGCCTTCCTTCGACGCCATCCTCTACTATTATCAGAGCGGGGGCCGCCTTCGGAGGCCTGTGAACGTGCCGCTGGATGTGTTCGCCGAGGAGATCAAGTTCTACGAGCTAGGCGAGATGGCTTTCAACAAGTTCCGCGAAGACGAGGGGTTCATCAAAGAGGAGGAGAGACCCTTGCCAAAGCACGAGCTGAAACGCAAGCTCTGGCTTCTATTCGAGTACCCCGAGAGCTCACAGGGAGCTCGTGTGATCGCCATCGTGTCCGTGGTAGTGATTCTATTGTCAATCTTCATTTTCTGCCTGGAGACGCTACCTGAGTTCAAGCATTACCGCCTCTTCAACACCACCAATAACATGACGCGAGTGATAGAGGACGAGGTGCCCCGCACCACGGACCCATTCTTTATCATTGAGACGTGCTGTATCATTTGGTTCACGTTTGAATTGCTCGTCAGGTTCCTAGCATGTCCCTCCAAAATGTCGTTCTGCAGGGACGCCATGAACAGCATCGACCTGATGGCCATCATCCCTTACTTCATCACTCTGGCCACAGTGGTGTCCGGCCAGCGGCCACAAGAAAGGCCCATCAATGAGAGGGGCAATAACCAGGCCATGTCGCTGGCCATTCTCAGGGTTATCCGTCTGGTGCGAGTGTTCCGGATCTTCAAACTGTCCCGGCACTCCAAAGGACTGCAGATTTTGGGTCGGACTCTCAAGGCCAGTATGCGGGAGCTCGGCCTGCTCATTTTCTTCCTTTTCATCGGCGTCATTCTCTTTTCGAGCGCAGTGTATTACGCCGAGGCGGACTCAGAGCGCTCCTTCTTCAAGAGCATCCCTGACGCGTTCTGGTGGGCTGTAGTCACCATGACGACTGTCGGATATGGGGACATGCGACCCGTCGGGGTCTGGGGCAAGCTGGTGGGCTCGTTGTGCGCTATCGCCGGCGTGCTCACCATCGCCCTACCAGTGCCCGTCATAGTCTCCAACTTCAACTACTTCTACCACCGTGAGACGGACCAGGAGGAGATGCAGTCACAGAATTTCAACCATGTTACAAGCTGCCCGTACTTGCCAGGTACGGTGGGCGCCAAGCTCAAGCGCGACTCTGTCAGCGAGTCCGCCTCAGACATCATGGAACTGGAGGAAGGCATGCTGCTTAGCGTCGAGAATCACCACCACCACCAAATGCTCGGCAACTACCACCAGCAGCTGCAGAAAAAGCCCAACTGCAACCCCCTCCACAACAACAATGTGAATGCCGTCTCCATTGAAACCGATGTTTGAAGTAGTGCTTGGTTGGCAGCTGCGCAAATGTCCTCCTACAGAGCAGCCTTTATATACACGTATCCTTTTTACGTTGTTTCGTTAAGTAATGATCTTCGTTTAACCAAGTTCACGTTCTTGCCTCTGGAGATCTCCTTCTGGGTGAGTACTGTCTTTTTCGTCACTTCTCTTACTGAAACATTTCTGTTATGCACGTTATTGCTCATTGTTATGCTCATTATTGAATCATTTTATGCTCATTATTGAAATGCAAATGTTTTTGTCGAATATTAATCTTTTCATAGAAAAATTTCATTTTGAAAAATGTAGAACACGAGTTTAAAAATATTTTTTGCCATATAAATGATTTATGTTTTTGTTCTTTTTATACAGACCTTATTTCTCATAAGTGAATATTATGAAATCAAAATATTATTAATTTCTTTTGAAGGAAAACTACTTAGAAAAATTATAATTAAAAACTGTATATTGTTTCCTTCTACGTTTCACAAAATATATTATTGTAAATGGCTAGGCTTAATTTTAAAATATTCTTTGCATTTTAATTACTAGTACCATACTATTTAAATTATAAATAAACCATTGTCTTGTAATTTACGTAACTTAAAATATCATAATTATGTGTGCTCGTAATCAAACGCGTTATTGCTTAAATTATCAATATATAATTATATCAAAACGTATTATTGCTTAAATTTCACTTGTTTAAAGTACTATACTATACGATTGCTTAAGTTTGCTAAGTTTCGCAAAATATATTATTGTAAATTGCTAAGCCTATTTTTAAAATATCCAGGATATTTTAATTATTAGAAGCATACCATGTATTTATTCAAATTATACATAAACCACTTTCTTATAATTTACGTAACCTAAAATAGCATTAGTATGTGTGCTCGTGATCTAAAATTTAGTGAAATAATTTTGTATTAAATACACATTTTGCGTCATAGAGCTAAGAAAGTTAAAGTTTTGATATTGTTTTGCCAAAAGTACTATTTTGCATAGCTTTATATCAAAACGTATTATTGCTTAGATATCACTTGTTAAAAATACTATTTCATACGATTACTTAAGTCATAATTATCGAAGAAAATTGAATCTTTAAATACGATTTTTAAAATTAGTAGCATTTTCATACTTTCGTATGTATACAGATAAAATTAAATTATTATTTTTTCTACCTGGAATGAAAAGTGTTTATTTTTAAATTTGAGCGAATTATTAGAAATCTGAAAATTACCAAAATAATTTGCTAAATATGTGTTACTTTTAATTTCTTTAAAACAAAAATATGGTTACTTAGCCTTTAAAAAATTTAGAATTGTAAATGTAATTAAATAAATTGTAAGAAGTTAAATTTGGGCAATCTGCAATTTCATCTCAACACGAACATTATTTTTAACAATGATATCTAAGCATTTTAATGACGCATTTTTCACTTAATAAGAATCTGTAAACTATATTCTACTTCGCTACTAAATGAAGACTATAATATAAATATGATTTAAAAAATTTTCAAATTATAGCAGATTCTTATTATATTTGAATACAGCAGGTCTTTTCCTAATGTTGTTAAAAATACAGTTCTGTATAGAATTTAAAATTAATTTTATCTTAAAAATACAGTTCTGTATAGAATTTAAAATTAATTTTATCATTTGTATTTTTAATCTTCCTTATTACTATTAACTTAAAGAATAATTCTCGTTTAAAGTATCGTTATGATAATGTATTTGGTTTATGTGAGTAAACATTTTTCTCGTGATAAGTGTTACGTATTAAATAATAAAGCTCTTTACATAATTAACATTGTGTCTTTTGCAAGTGACACATAATTATATATAATTAAAGTAAACAGAACAAACTAAAAAAGACCTTTGTGGTCAAGAACTTTGCGCATTACGCTGCAAAATTTAGAAAACAAGTTAAAAGAAAATTTTTAGTGCTTACGCTATAAAGTAGCTTAGATACTGTGGTATTATATATCTATATAATAGATATAAAATACATAAAATATGGGCTAAAATGCTTTCTTTCATTATCATATTAATTGAATATGTATTATTAATAATTTCCGATTTCTTGTTGCGAAAGCAAAAAAATTCTATCTAGAAATCAACATTTGAGCATAATCAAAAGATGCAAAATCGTTATTCTGGAAGACCGTACTGCGCATGCGTTGTTATCCCGTGAAACGAAAGAGCTCCGGTACAAGAATCTGAAAAAAAGGAAATGCAAAGTAAATCTATTTAGATAAATGTTTTTTGTAAAGTAAAAAGCAATTAATGATGACATATTGGAACATTTCATATAAGCTGTATTGCATTTTTATCTCTTCAGATGCGCAGTGTTTTATTTTTTTCAGCTGTAATACGTTCAATCATTTTCGTCAGCATTTCAGCCATTATTGGTGATTTCTTTACTCGTTACTGAAACTAAGATGAAGAACGTTGCTTAATATAAACGCTCGTCTAAAAAAAAATATTCCACAGGAAACATTTTCATATGTAAATGTATACATTTAGTTTAGATTTATACTAGTTACTAAAACATAGACGAACACTGGGGAAAATAAATATTCATCTAAATAAAACCTCTTCTACAATAAATATTTTCGTACATGAATGTTACTTAATATTTATTTTTCGTTTTCCATAGCTTGATAATTCCCTAATTACATATTTTCAGTGAATATATACTAGATTTTTAAATTTTGTTTTATTTGTGGTCAACAATTTTATGTAAAAAATAATGGCAACTCTAATTAACAGTGTAAATTGTTTTTCTTTTTTTTATCTTTTTTATCTTTTATCTAATTGTTTTCTTTTTTATCTTTTATCTAATTGTTTTTCTTTTTTTATCTCTCTTTTTATATTCGTACATTTTTTGAGTTAAGAAACAATATATAAGAGACAAGAAAGAGTGTATAAGATAAATATAATTAAATATTAAAAAAATAATAATTCGAAAGTTCTCAGATTTTATATTACGCCCAAAGGGGCGTTTTTTAACGTTTTGTGTGTTAATAATTAAATATCATATTCGCACTTAAACCACGAAATTCAATTCAACAGCAATATCACAAAATTTTTAAAAGAGATTACGATACACAGTCTTGTGCTCGAGATATTTTTTTTATGTACAGTGTTGCCATTGCACGCTTTCAGATCGTTGAGTTTTTGTAAATCAAAAATTCCTTAAAGTGTTACAAAATATGAAATCGATAATAAAACAAATTTCACATTCCAAATTAGGGCTTCTAGATGCGCGTATTCAGTGGAAGATTACGTATTCAAAATTCGATGTTGTTTATCCCAGTGCGAGACATATACATGCATTCATGCAGATTCTTCATTATTTAACTTCTTTAAATATAACACAGGGCAATAATATTTGGTGGGAACACTTTGAAAGGTGAACTGACATTTATAGGGAATCACCGCAAAATGCCAAAACATAATTAATAGTCCTTCTGGGAAAATTGCCCACTTGGACTAAAACATAAAAATCTGAAATCTTTCAGATTTTATATTACGCCGTAAGGGGCATTTTTAACATTTTCTGTGTTACCTTTAATTATTAAATATCATGTTCTTCCCAGTTTAACCTTAAAATTCAATTCGACAGCTATATCACAAAATATTTAAATGAGCTTATCTTTAGAATTTACCATACACAGTATGGCGTGTTGTAGATAAAAGTGTTTTTTTTTCTTTTACCCGTAGAGTGTTGCCATTGCTCGCTTTGAAATCGTCGAATTTGTTAATTAAAAATTCTTTAATAATCATAGTTTTTGAAACATTACTCTTTAATGTTTTACACACTATGAAACAGATAATAAAACAAATTCCATATTAAAATTTTTGGCTTTTAGATGCCCATATTCGAATGGAGGACTAAGTTATTCAAAATTAGATGTCTCTAGGTACCGTTGTTTCTTCACAGTGTGAGAACATACATACGTTCATTCAGATTTTTCATTATTTAATTTCTTTAAATATAATGCAGTGCTCTAATATTTGGTGGCAACAATTTGATAAGATCATGACTTAAAATAAATCAGTATTCATCTCAGTTGAAAGGTAAAGCTCATTTTAAGTAGCCAGTTCTGCTAGAATGAACGTAAATATCCACCGGAAAAACATTTCATAATGTTGTTTCACTTACGCGTCTTTTGAGAGCATATTTACTTATATACGTTTCATATTGAGGTGTTGCCCACCAGCGGCCGAGCGGTAAGGTCGCTGAACACTGGTAGTTCGGTCCGAGGTTTGAATCCCGCGATTGGGCTGTTTGCATGGGTGGTTTCGTGGTTTTCCCCATGTGTAACGTGTATACGAGCCAGTTTCCCTTAGAAAGTCCTCCACGAAGGCATCCCTTCCCTTAGGCAGGTAGCCCTAGTGTGCTTTGCCATAATTGGATACACCACCACCACCACACCATATTGAGGTGTTTGTAGTTAATTTAGTTTTCCCTTACTTGAAATTTAGATGATATGTTTGTGAAAGAAATTTCCAATAATTGGAATGAAACTGTGTAGAGTCATTAGGTGTTTCGGAAGCAGGAAGGATGAAAAATTAGCAAACGCCTTCGCCGGGAATCGAACCACGGACCTCTGGAATACCGGCCCAGCGTGCTACCGTTGCACCACGAAGGCACGCTAGGGAAGGGGTAGAAATACCTTATAACTGAATGGAATAATTTTTATGTATTTATCTTTCAAAACTCAAACATACAATGACAAATAATCAGAAATCCATACAAAAAAGTTTCCTTACACTGGTTCATTCATTAGTTAGGTTTGTTACTGCAATTTAAAACCATTAAATCATTTGCTACATTTTAAACAGCATTTGTAAAATATATAATAAATGGTCAGTGGAGTAATTAAACTTGTACAGAGGGTGTTTACACATTTTTGTAACGATTTTGGCAAAGATTTATATATATAAACAAAGCTTAGAATTTTCATTTCTAATTCTGTCAGTTCAATAATCTTATGTTCAGTCCGATAACCCTTTCGTTGACCTATCATATTACATCTTGATTTCCAAGATAAAAGTGCTTTTTTTTTTAAATATCAAGGTTGATTTTACTCCACGCTT